CTCTATCGACTCTACGTACATCTCGGACGCGCGACTCGTGTCTTGGCGCGCAGCTTGCTTGCGGCTGGTCGCGCGCTGCACTCGAGTCCATCGCCATGCCGAGCCCTTTCTTCTTCGTCATCCCCCATGGGCGACTGCTGGTGGCCAACGTCGAGACGCACTACTGACGCGACAAGACATGTGTCTTTGTAATCACCGAGCCACACAGAGATGCCAGGGACATTAATAGTCCGCAACGACGGCCTTGCCGTGACTCACGGGAACGAGCGCTGAGACGAATTAGTACTTTCTCTGCCAATATGTCTTTTTCCATGTTAGCTAAATGCAAAAGACGTTTGTGTGACTGCGATCGAGAACTACTAGTGCGTCTTTCAGTTGGTTTCGCCACGGCGTGAGCTTGCCACGCAACGAAAAAGTATGGCCTAGAAGGGAAGAGCAATCGCATGGACTCTAGCCGCTCTACTAGTACACAAGGTGCCCGTATCGAGAGCACGCAAGCACTCACTCCCACACGGCAGTCGACCTTGGGCACCTGGTTGAGGATCTCGATGCCCATGGTAACGCACACTTGCTGGGCCTTCACGTTGATGTCCGACCGGTCGACGTGATGGGAGTTACACTGGTAGACAACAATCCATGAGGCAATGAAGTCCTCAGAAGCACGTGGGAGCGCTGGAACCGGCCCACGTCTCTGGGGATCGAGGTCGACACCGTCGCGGTGCTTGCGAAGGAGGCGCCTAAGGTTCTGATGTTGATGTTGATGTCCTTCGCGACATACACTTAATTCTCTTTGTCCTTGACAACGCGCTCGACGGCAGTGAGCTTGGTCTCGGCGGTGAGCTTCAAGCGCATCTATTTAGATTGTGACAGAGGTCTAGCACACTCGAAGCGGCCACCGTGGTACGATGGATGGCTGGTTGCGAGGGATGCTGGACGTGCTGGTGGCTGGGAGACACTAATAGCATTTTACGTTACAACTTCATCAAAGAAATGTGGTCTGCGCTCCACGCCGTCACAGACCTTGGGATGTGGTCTTGCCGTCAACGCTCTCAGGCTACCTCTACTAGACGCCCAAGACGGCCTCCAACATGCACCAAGAAGCGGTCCGCTACCTGTGCGCCCATGCTCCGCACCTGCGTTTGGTTCGGCGAGAGCGTAACAATCGCGTCGTTCGCACCGACCCACC